TAAAACCCGCCGTCCAGCGGACCACTGCGGAGTTCAACACAACCATTTCATTTACGCATAGCGTTATGCTGTCGGCCCGCGCAGTAATCAACTTGTAAGCAGCATGTTAAATACAGTCAGTGAGTAAACGATATACTGTGCATCATTCAACAACCACCAATACGAGTCCTTCCCACGTTACACCCCTGCCACGGTGTAACAATTTGCATCTGGTTCATTATTTGTCAATTGTAATTTCAGCTGAAGATGGCCGCAATAAATATGATAGTCAAAGTTTAAGTTAAAACTGAAAGGTAAAATAATTTAAACCTGTTGCATGAATGTTATACATACATACCGTAAATTACAATTGTTTGTCTTGCATGCTGTTATGCTGAAAGCATCATTCTATCTTCCTTCAGTATGTAATTAAAAATTATATGAATTTTACATGATCAATAATACTGTCAGTATCAATAAATACTGATAATATTGTTACGCCCAAGGATCGAAGTTTCACACGAGCACTTGCACAAGAAAAAAAGTGAATAAGCTCCGCGACTACTTCACGATGATAACTTGATCGGGCTTGCCAATTGACAAAACCGGCTTGAATATAACAATATAATTGATCGTGTGTAATTAATATTGTTGGATTAATATAGAATATTGATGATGCGAATTTTTTTATTCTCGAAAATCTGTCGCAGAGCAGTATTGCACTGTGATAAGAATTAGTTTGCTCCTTTGAGAATTAAGAAATCCGGATCATCGTCAGTATTTTACATCAGTCTATTAATATTAACTACGCACAATCAATAATATTGTAGTCATGCTGTCTGAGCGGATTCGGTTTTCGTGTTATTCGATCCCTTTGCGGTCGCGTAGTTCTCCAGATGTAAAAGCGTATTATGCCGTTTTTGGCAGATCGTACAGCTGGAAAACCTGCACGGGATGCCCGGATGCGAACGTAAGCAGTTGTAGCAAAGCCTCGCGCTCTTGACCGTTTCGATACGTTTGTTTACGGGTAACTGCTTAAATTTATCACACGTATACAGCGGATGTCGCTTGTTTTTACACATCAGACAATTGCGCGATGCGTTTACCACAAGTGC